CACAGATTTGTCCGTATTTCTAGTCACGTGAAAATATGAGCTTCTCCCCAGCAGACAGGCCTCTACCTATGTCGCTGCAATGGCAAAATAATCCTCAGTGAGGCATTTGTTTGCCTTTGAAGAGGGGCGTAGCAGATTCCAAAGACAAAACGTAGTGATGTCATTGGCGCCGTTACCCATTACAATATGTACACAAAGTGTCGCTTGTTGACCTAAAGCTGAGTGCAACCACTCGGCACTGAGTTATTTCATTGGCCCAATTGCTGTTAGGCCGGCGAGACAATGACGACACTTTGCTTTAATTAATACCATTGCTAAAAATGCATGAAAAATGGTAATCGTGTCCATTAGTTGATATGCAAAGCGGGTAATTTTGTAACCGACGTTTACGCATTTAGCATTACGCATGGGGCAAAGCGAACGACAACATGAAATGCAAAAGTGGAATATTTCCAAGCTTCGATAACGGAACGTGCTCTCTATGTACTTACAATCGTGTGGATGAACATTTTTTTCCAGGGTAAATAGCCCTTTGAAATTATGTTGAATGAATCCAATGAAATATACAAAGTGATTGTGTTTAAAATTCAAAGTTCGTAACAAACACGATGCAAATTTGCATATAATTAAAAAAGACCACAAAGTCATAAATTCAAATTCAGGGGATCTGGTGGCAGATGCGGTATAACCTATGCCAGCGTAGTTTATAGAAAAAAAAACACAATCATACAATATACCAACCTGAACATCAAATATCCACAAATGCATCCATACAAAATACGGAAATGTGATAAGAAATTGTCCACTATGCGCTGCATTGACACGTAGCAGCACTAAGAACCAGTCCAACACTTCGATCTGACACAGGTCAGATCGGGAAGCAACGACAACGCACATTAGACAGGCACCAGAATTGCGTGGTAGTCTGACACCCAATCAGCGGGAGGCAGCACCGTCGCGTCGGCACCAGGACCCCGCCGCGGTGCTGGCAGACGGCCGTCGAATACTGAGGTGAGCCAACTCGGTACTGGGTCAGCACGCCAGGAATGAACGGACGAGCTCCGAGCCACCGCGGCGCACCGCACCGAGGGCAGTGCGCGCGGCATAGAAAACGGCCGCAGGTGCGTCACAGAACGGAACCAATTAGTGACAATCGGTTGAGTTTTAGCTTGATTCACAATCACGACACCAATCCATACAAGTGCTATGGATAAGCAATGCATCAGACGGCATCGTGTATCGAATCACAACCGATCACCCTTTTTGCGACATACCCCTCCCTCCATCAGCCACAGGCATTCCCGATAGACCACCGCGCGGCGACCCGCGCTCAGCACAGGTCAGACGAGACCGGCCACGTGGGCGCTCGACGCATCGATCCCGACACCGCGCCCCGGGCCGACCGGGCGGCACGGAGCGCGTGGCCGCGTGCCACCGCCGCCGCCACCGCCACCGGCCCGCGTCGGGAGCAGCCAGCAATCGGCAGCGACGGCCGTGAGGAGCAGGGAGACGCGGGCACAGGTGCTGGTTTAAACCAGTGAGAGCCGGTATATAGGGGGTCAGATCGATGAGCCATGGGGTCGGCTAAAAGCTGCCATTTGGATGCCGAAGACGGACCATGAAGTCGGTCGCATGAAGAGTCGCACCGGCTCACCCCACGCTATTTTCAGACTAGCTCATGGTCCAACCAAAGACCTTCATGACAAGCGGACATGATGCATTCCACAGAAGCCCGTGAAATTCAAAGACCTAAGGAATCACAAAATGGAAGGAGCGCCACCCGGCGCTGAACCGGCTCCCACGTGGCACCACCCAGCCGGAAGGCCAGATCGAAGGATCGAAACTACCGTTCGAGCAACGGCAACAACAACATACAGGAACATCAGAGCGGCAGCACAGTCACGGAAGTTCCACTAGCACACCGAACTCCCACCCCTGCCGGCCGCCGGCAACTCACCTGATCCCGGCGCGTGTGGTGCTGACCTGACCCGCTGACCGCGCCAGGACCGCGAGTGCCGCCGGCTCCGGCGCACGGCCCCGGCCGCCGGCGCGCGCCTCCCCGCCCCCCACATCGATACCGGCATCCGACGGCGCCTGCGCCGGAGCCGGCCGGCGCGCGCCGCCGGAGAGGGAGGGGCTGATGCAAGGGGGTTACGCCCCGTCTAGGTCGGCGGCGCAGCGGCTGGCGGCGATGGCGGCGGGTCACGACGGGTCGCGGCGCCGCGCCGGTCGGGATGGCAGGCGGCCGAGTGCCAGGTAAGTGGGAGCACAGGTGAGCACCGCCTGATTGGAGTCAGGTGCGGCGGGGGCGGGAGGCAGATCCGTCCGGCAGCCCGGCACGGCGGCCGGTACTTGTGCTTTGTACTTGTGTTACAGCTGAAGCTACGGCCCACGCACACAACAAAATGGACGATAGAATCTGGCCTTCAGAAGAGTGTGTCACTGCAGTCTGGCAAACGCAAGAAAATAGAACGGATTGAAAGCGCAACACTTTATCGATGCATATGACTGACTACACAATTACCTACTCGTCCCAAGAATTCCTTCGCCCAGGAACATTCATCTTGATCTAAAAACGTAAGCGATATACACCTTATATTCAATCACTATATACATATTACAATTTAGTTGACGTGTGCTTCCAAGCGCCTTACCTACTTTCTTCCTTTTTTTCTTCCATTTGCCAGACTATGGTTGCATGAATATGGGACAAAAATCGTTATGAGCTGTTTTCGTCAATAGACGTAATTTTAAATACAGAATTGTTTAACAATCAATGGACGTAAACAGTAAACACCCCTGCTACGAGTGGCATCACAAAGCGCCACTGATGTAAACGCCATATAAATGTGTACTGCGGCACGGCATAGTTTCAGGCGCTGAATTTCACTGCCATCTATCGGCAGTTATAAAAGTACGGGTAGGCTTATGTGGCAGGCGGCAGTGCAGAGTCTCAATAAAATTAACTTATTTGTAGCTTTGTCAACCATCGACACTGGCGAATCCAGAAAGGCGGTCTTTGACGCCGCGTTGGTGGGGCATACCCCCAAAATTGTGCCTCCTAATTCCAAAAAAATTATCGGATTTGAATTCCTTAATCCTTTCACACTACTGCGCAATTTAAACCATTATTATCTTCTGATAAAAGTTGTTAGGTTTTAGCTTTATCCTAGGAAAACCTAAATTTTTCGTCGATTTCGGGCGCCTGAGTTCGCCAGTGACCGTCGAAGCGTAGTTTTAGGCCTTGCTCGAAGTTAAATAGGTATGACCATTTTAACAGGCATGGGTAGTCCGGGGCTGCGGAGTCTATGGACTTTTTTGGTGACTCCGACTCCGACTCCGTCTTAAAAAATCGACTCCGACTCCGACTCCAGCTCCGACTACGGATAACCTATAAGTCCATATGATAAGTAAAGTATGGTAAAGTTCATGTCGGAGATCTTTTTATTTGTCTCGGAGATCTTTTTATTTGTCTGAAACGATCCTCTCGTTTCACCGCCTTACTTTGCAAATATTATTTTAAATAACATGCAGAACTAAAAGCAGATTCTATCGCAGCCGCGACCTTCCGCTTTTTTTCTTTTTGCTGAAAACGCTCGTCCAGAACAGAAGCATCCTTAGCTTCTACAAAATATGCTGTGGAAAGGTCAAAGAACGAGAACAGGTGTAGGACATGGCTTTGGACCATGAGGTGTTAACTCCGACCCCGGAGTCGGAGTCGGTAAGATTCTGGTGACCCCGACACCGACTCCGACTCCGCAGCCCTGGTGGGCACTAAATTGTCAGCAATTGGCATGAGGGCACACGATTGACGGTCAGATAAGGCAGTTGGCACTAAATGTCTTGAGCCATTGACTACCTTCACAGGAATCCTCAGCAGGTCAGGGCCTCAGGCAGGTGCCCAGTGCAATTTTCATGTCTGTTTGACTCGACAGGCCTGGGTCATTCTGAACTCGCTCAAGCACAGTTCCCCTCGGCCCTCGCCACACCGAGGCTATATATTTATGGAAATATAAGTGCTACGGACAAAAGTACGCATCGCAAATGTCACTAATGGCGAATGTACGTCCGCAAGTGTACGCAGGCCAGAAGTACCTATCGCTTTGTTTTGTTTTGTTGCATAGGCGGCGGAACGGGGAGGGCACCGGGGCACCGTGCCCCCCTTTGACTTTGGCATTTTAACACTAGCCCTATGGGTGTTGCATGGAAAGAATGGGACCAAAAGTCGGCAGTGCCCCCCTTTGATTGAAGGTGTTCCGCCGCTACTGTTTTGTTGAGTTAGGCCCTTTCGGTCTGACAAGACCATTTCAGAGGGATGAGAGGAATTAGGGGGAGACATTGGTCTGGACAGGCACCCTGGTGAGTCACCGGGGCTGAGCCGTCCCAAAGGACATGCCGACCAGCACCCCCCCCCCCCCCCCCAGTACTCACTGCACCCGGCTACAGGCCTTGGCTACGGGTGTGCTCCCTTGGGACTTGGGAGCAGCGGTGCCGCTCCAAGGGAGCAGCCCGCATGAGATAAAGTTGCCAGTCCAGCCCGGACCGGAGGTTGCGGCGTGGAGGAGGATTTCAGTATCCTGAGGATAGATACGACGGAACGGGTATGACCTATCGCAAATGCTCGCACCGCGCACGGTATTACAGAAGTAGGAATGGGACAAGGAAGGAATGGGCAACTAAGTAAAGGACCCTAGTTCTTAGCGCCACCTGTCTCATCAATAGGTATATCTTTTGCAGCGCCATCTGTGTACGTAGCAGAGAAGCATCGGCAATCGACCCGAAACATCAAGCCGGCGGGGTGGGAAAGCCCGGATAAGGAGTGTTTTGCCAGAAACGAGAATGATTTATCCTTCCAAAAGTCCATCAATGCAAATTCTCAAGGCCATTTTCTGGGCTCTTGAAATAATAATAATCGTTGCCCCTATCTATTTATACAGAATGATGGAGGCTGAATGTCTGCATTACAACAAATTGAACATAACTCATACAGGAACACTTACCTGAGATGTCAATCTCGTTAAGTCTTGCAGCGTATTCCGGTCATAACTCAAGCCTAGTTTGAGTTCGAGTTGAAGTAAAGCAATGCTGATGCCGCAACAGCAATGCAGAGGCTAAAAGATTGAGATGTTCATATTTCAGTTCCTGGTAGTCACATCCCGATAACTTCGTGTTTTTAAATGTTTTCGTTGCTCGAAAGTTGCAGTATCCCACAAAAGTAACGCTGGTAGAATAATTTATCAACATATCGGCAACAATTTTCGTGAATAATTCGCACGTGTACTTATCCGAATCCGAATCCAACAATAATTAAATATTTACATTACATAAGATACCTGTTCTCACAACAAAGCTACGATTATGGCTCTTAAAAGTTTAGCCAATGAAATCATTGTATATGAATGAATTGAAATTTTGGTCCCTTACGATTGGTCAATCCTAAAATTAGATACCAGATTTTCTGCATTTGAACAGGCTGCTCCTGCGTCACATATGAGATTTTGGCGCCAAAGACCTTAAGGTTGAAGAAATCACGGTGGATGGTGGGTAGGTACAAAAAGAAATATTATTCAGATAAAGTAATCAAGATCTGGATCAAAAAGAAGTGTCGATTTATTCAGAGTTGCATATATGATCATAGCATATTGATGAACAATGGTAAATTTATATGATGGAATTGAAACAAGGTGAAATTGAAATGGCACTGTGGTTCTTGAAATTTCAATTCATCGTTATTTTGAAACAAATTTGAATTTTGTTTTTGTTCAGGAATTATTTATGCATTATTCTTTTCCTGGCTAGTGTCAGCACTCGGCTCACCTGGTTATAAACTCACATGGTTGGGTTCCCATGCCCATTCTCAGTCGGGGAAACTGTGGTCAAATCTTCCATTTTTAGAAAGCCTTCCATTTTTGGAAGGATTTTCTATATATGGGTACGCACCTTCCAAAAATGGGTACGCTGACGACGTCATCGTACCCAAATATAGAAAATGTTGCGCATATGTTGGAACTTACCGATTTCCGCCGAACATGAGGCAAATGCGACTATCGCCCCTGGTCGCTTTCTATTCGCCATAGTGAAGTGTCCATAATCTAGCGTGGATGCCTAAATCCTAGCGTGGATGTATTTTAGGTAATTTTTCAAAGTAATGAGTCGTGGAAAATTGACAAAAATTTACCGACAAACGATGGTTTTATAAGACTTTATCAAACATTTTGTAAGCAAAAAGCATCAAAAACGAAAAGTAAATATCCTTTAAAGTACTTTAGTGACGGGCCATGCTTGTTCGATACCGCCGACTTTATTTACAGTGCGGAATTGTCTGGACAGAGTGCGGCGGTTTCGGGAGTGTAGTGGCGAGTAAAACTTGTATTTGTTGCCGTTTTCTGCATTTATTAGCATATTGTGTGGTTGATTTCAATTTTTTAAGGCTTTTGCCAAACATTTGGGTGGAGGTCTCGTCATTTTTCAATGTTTTTTCCGGAATATGGGACGAATTAAATAGGCGTTGCTGCGCCGTTTTTCGTGTTACTTTCTATCGAAGGAGCATGAATCTTCAATTTATATGAGGAATAGTAAGTTTAATTTAAACCATTTTTTGTCAGGGCTATAGCTGTGTTCCTCCTGGTTGGTTATTGACCAGCTGTTTTCTCTTCTGAATTTCTATGTGTCCTCTAGAAGTAGAAAAAGAGAGCAGTGCGCCAGGACACCATGCTATTATATCACTATGTACATTGACATAGCATGCCTGTATTACCAACACTAGCACTGCTGCTTCTCCTTATATCAATGATCATAAATGGCAAAATCAACTATTAATGTTACACATTTAAAAAGGCCGTAACTTAAATCAAAGAATGTGAATCACAGTTGGGAACACTGAGATTAGACCTTCCAATTTTGGAAGCCTTCCATTTTTGGAAAATGCATACCCATTTATGGAAGGTCCTTCCAAAAATGGAAGGCTTCCAAAAATAGAAGATTTGACCACAGTTTCCCCCACTGTTCTGATCCCAAGACAAGGTTAGGAAATATCGAAGGATGTGCAGCAACCCTGATCAAAGGACACCCAGATAGAAACAGCTCGCATGATTACATTGCGTATTGTGGCTGGAACTAGGCATCTTCAATGTTGCATTCTTGCTCTCTGTAACTTTTATGGTAACTTCAAAAAGTTACCTCTTAGTTGTAAGTACGGAGGTACCTACCTACCTACCGGCAAGAGTATTACCAAGTACTTTGCACCACCAAAGGTACACAGGTACCTACGTAGCAACTTACAACTTAGGGCCCTTGATGGGCCCTTCACAGCTTGATGTAACCTGATGCTATGGCACTGCAGGAGCTGATGTGTGACTTAGGCCCAACCAGGGCTTTTTACTAGCTCTCCAATAGCATTAACTTTAACTACTAGTTTGATGTCACTCAGTGCCAGAACATCTGAGTTTGTTAATGTTTCTATTGGAACCCAATACCATGATATGATACCAGTAGTACCAGGTAGTCATGCTGTGGAGGTACCCAGGAGATGGGCACCTTATCCACCAGGTCATGTGGAGGACTTGAGTTCCCTTCTCCCCCCTCCCCCCCCCCCCACACTCCACAGAGGTGCTGAGGTGGCTGGTGCCCCTGGTTCGCTGGTTTGCCAAGATGCCTGCCCTGCAGCATCCACTAGCTCTAGCACCAAGCAGCAAAAAGGAGCTCATGCTGGACACTGGTCCAAGACCTTTCACAGTTTCAGTGGAGGGAAATGTTGGCAGTGGCAAGTCCACCTTCCTGAAACACTTCAAAGGATTGGAGGGTGTCAATGTTATAGAGGTGGGTCATTGTAACATGATTTTGAGTGTAGTGTTGTTCATATGGCATTGTCTAACAACATCTACTCAGTACTTGACTTCCTTGTGGCTGGCATATACTAAAACACCAGTGCTCATATTTATTCTTAATATAGTTTCAAGACTAAAGAAATGCAAATGGAAGTGAATGTGATAAAGTATTGTGCATTGAATATTCTTTTATACCTTTCGCTTCATGTTCCTTTTGTTTTCAAACTAGAAAATCACACCGTTTTTGCATGCTTCAGATAACAGCAATCGCCAATGACAAAATATGGAGTGCTGGTTTTTACAGGAGCCACTGGAGAAGTGGTGCAACGTAGATGGTCACAACCTGCTGGACAAGCTGTACAAGGACCCAGAGAGATGGAGCTTCCTGTTCCAGTCTTACATTCAGCTCACCAGGCTGCAGATTCATCTGGACAAAACTCCGTGCCGGGTCAAAATCATTGAACGCTCGCTGCCCAACAACAGGTAGGCCGAAGCAATGAAACAACAATCGATTGTATTATATTGTATTGAACAATGATCATGAGCGATCCACATTCTGAAAGTGCGTGGCGATTACTGCTCAGAATCCGTATCCGCGGTTACTAATATAAACATTCCAATGTGATGATCGTCGTGCTACGCATGAGGTATACCTACTCTGAAGTAATATTACATGCTGATTTGGTTGTAATATCAACATCAATAGTATTAAGCTGACAAGTTTTTATTTGGACGTCTATCATCAGTCATCACGTTGACTAATTGCGTTGTTATCAGCCATTGTACTGTGGCTCGGGCCTCGATAGTCCCCTTTATTTAGTTATTATCCAGCGGCCACTGTATTGCCAACACTGAGCGGCGAGCGCTGTATGTTTTATGTACGCAAAAAAATTGAATATGTTAGAAGATCGCATTTTTTATTTCACCGCCCGAGAACGGGTAGTGAACCAAGTGAAACACCCATCGTCGCCGAAATCGTGTTCAGTCACGCTCAGTGATGACTCATCCCCCTCCCCCCCCCCCCACCCACCCCACCCCATCCTGACCGTTCTCCGTCTCGCAGATACTGTTTCGTGGAGAACGCGCTGGATAGTGGCGCCATCTCGGCGGCCGAGCACACCGTACTCGCCGAGTACTACTCGCTGATGGAGCGGCGGCTCGACATCGGCGTCGACCTGATCGTCTACCTGCGCACCACGCCCGAGGTGGTGTTTGAGCGGATGCGGCAGCGCGGCCGCGCAGAGGAGGCGGCCGTGCCGCTCGACTACCTGCGCCGCGTGCACCGCAGCCACGAGCGATGGCTGACGGGCGCGCGGCCGGCCCACTGGCCGCCTGTGCTCTGTATTGACGCCGACCAGGAACTGAAGGAGCTGCTGGCGCTCTACGACAAGAACAAGGAGCGCATCACCGGCGGAAAAGTGTAACGGTCGTGGGGGAGGGGACTGTTTGAGGGCTGTTGACGGTAGGCTGTGGGAGGATGAGCTGCTCGGGGCTGGGTGGGGCGGTAGGGTATGCGAGCGATGTGACTGCTGGAGGGATGGGTGGGAGGACGTGGGCGGGAAACTGAGCGAGTGCCTTGTGCGTGGTGGGAGAGAGGAACCAGAGAGGCAGATTGAAAGGGTTAGACTGGCTTTGTAGAATGTTAAATGCCCGTTATAGAGATGAGACCGAATTAATCGAAGCTTTTTGCTCAAGTTAAGCGTGTGTTTGTGACTTTTCTGGCTTGTGCTTAAGCCACTGTGCCTTGGTGTGTCTTCATAGTGCCGCAGTTCATATCCGAAGTCTGGATGAACGATGCGATAGGGATGGTCCGTTGTCATTGAAACCAGTTCACGATATCCGCTCCCATTTGGCCACTGTGCTTTAGCTTTAAGCTGCTTTTCCTGAGCCGATTGACTTGCGGTTGATTTGAAGAATAGCGCGTTGTGAGGGCCAGATAATCGGCCAGGTCGCACTTTTCCACCGCATTTATGTTATTTCCTCATGTCCTAGTTTAACCCGCGCCCCGTTGGGCTCTGCCGAGCAACGCGCCCGGTTGGGGGGGGGCCATTTTGGCCCCCCCCTAAGATCTCGAGAACCACGCAACATAGCGACAAGCGGTAAACGGCGTTGGATAGCCCCAACGGGGAACTACCTTGTGACCCAATTTTATTGACCTAGGTCAAACCGATGACGTCACAGGTCAGGTCAAAGGTCCAATTTTCACCGTTTACAGGCACTTCAAGAAATGCGTTGTAAAATCGAGTAAAATGCATTTCATTGAAAATCATCGATGGGGAAATGTTCTTCAAACACATATTTTGCTATTTGAGGTCACTGATACCAGGTCAGGTCACAGAGGTCAGGTCACGGGGGGGTCACAATATGAAAGTGTCGTGTGATACATGTTTTATGGTCCATTTTACATGACAAATGCGATTATATGGGTCAGGCAGCCTTTGGGGCCAGCTTAGATCACGTTTTGGCCAAGGTCAGGTCAAGGT